TGTTCCCTGCACATGTCCTAGGGAAGATTGTGTTCTTCTGGCCCCCTAAATCTAATCTAGCAGAAGTCAAACCCTAACCTTCTACAGCGCAAATATAAGATAAACATTCAAATAGGTGAGAAAGAAAGCTAACAAGGTAATTCAAATTCTCGAGTATCATAAGAAATACAAGTAGGCTACAAGTGGAATCTTCAATGTTTAAGTGTCGTTACAATACGACTGCCACCACCAAATGACATGAGGGGTGTTTCAGTGCGGGACAGTTATGCCACATACTGGCCCAACTTTAAAAATTAAATTCAGTGAGTAAATAGTTTCATGACACAAACAAAGTGCTTGCATATTTGTCTTTGTTTCAAAAGAATGTCCCTTCATTTGCCCGAAGGTGGACACATGAAAATACATGAGCTAGAAAATGTATGCAATGTTTCTTGTCGCCTTTCTTGTGTTACCTTAAGATACGGAATATTAAACATCTTTTGCATCTCACCTCTTGGTCTGACCTTTAGTGTGACATTATTGAAGGAGGGTTTGACTTAGAGGGAGGGGACCTGTGAATCATTTAATTTCCGTTTCACTGGAAATGATGAGTGCTGAAATTGCTGAATTTCCGTTAGAATAAAAAAGAACAACAAGTGTTTACGCCTTGTTACAGGAACTAGCAGTTCAGATAACTACTCAGTTAAGTAATAATGGAAACAAAAGCCAGCAGATTGCTTTCCTCTCTGTGTGTTATTGATTGACCTCAGCCTAATGCAGGTCATTAATTCAAGTACACACAGTGACACAAACAACAGCACATGTAAGATGCACACAATGTTGTAATGACATGCAGTGAGCTGCATGTATTGTTAATTGTTCTCCTTAAACAGCTGTGCAGAGTGAATGTTAATGGCCAGCTGTTTTTCGTGGCAGTTGCAGGGTGTGTTTTGACCAGCCTCTACAAAACACACAGCTATGACCTCCACCAGGGAACTCACTGCACCTATAACAGATAGACAGGGAGGGAGCCAGCAGGAATATCAAATGACTTACAGTGCAGAGAGGCAGGGGCAAGGCAGAACCATTTCCATATTCCACTGGTCCTTTATATGCATGAGAAGGATACAAGACTGACAAAGGGGAGGAGGATTTTCTGTGGATGTAATTCCTTAATTCAAATGTTAATGTCTAATTATCAAAGCGGTTAAGCAGTGTTAGCGGCTAAACAATACCACATTTAAAAGACAATAATGATTAACTACCATTGGCTAGACACGTTTAAAAGACATTACCCAAGGGCAAAAAACATGTTCACAGTAAGCAAGACTTCCAGCAAAAACAAGCCAAAGGAAAATGGTGCTGTGGTGGAAGGGGAGAGGGAGGAGCAGTCCAGGGTTAAAAATGTAAAGCTAGCAGAAAAAAAGCTCTCCAACATGTGGTGCGGTTTGAACAGGTTTCTCCTAAAGATGCCTCGTTGCGGATGTACACAGCGTGTGGATAATTTACCCAAAGTGTTTGTGAATGGGGGAGGGTCGTGTGAGTAGGAAAGTATGTCGGTTGTGGGGATGATAAAAAAAGATGTACAGCTATATGAGGCTTTGCACATCATTTGTTCTATAAGAATAAACAACTTCAGTCATGTATCTTCTCAATCATCCGGCATTTCTTAATTGAAACCCAACATATTTAGGCTTTCCTTCCCATCTTACAGAGATTCGTATCAGGCATTGTCAAGCACAACTGAAATTGGTGTAGCTTTTAACGCAGAGTGTGGATCTTTTGTCTGCGTCTGGCTTTACAAGTCAGAAATTCATTTATAAAATAACTGTACATTATTTAAAAAGAAAAGTTCCTTTAGAGAAGTAGTAAGCCTGCTTATGAAAAGTCGGCTGTAACAGACACGGGAGGAATTGGTTGTAGGCAGTGCATGTGAGTCTGATTACAAAGTGTAAATCCGTGAATAATTTCGGAGGCTCCTCCTGATCACACAAGGCTCTACAAGACCAGACAGGGTTTAGGGGCCTTCCTATCACTTCTGGACTACAGCGATGGAGCTGAATCTAGACTTGCTGTGTTTTCATGACTCAGCACATACCTTGCCTAACATGTGGTTTATGGACACACATTCTTATGAATATATGTTCTGTGGACGCTTTTCTTTTGAGGGATTCTTACAAAATACAATGTCCCTTGGAGGTGAGCTTAGTGAAAGCCTTTCTGCATTGCACCTGGGTCATGCTACATGACAACAGTAGAATTCCATTACTTTATGGCACATTAAGATGTATTGTTATGTTTCCTTTCTGTCTCCACCTTCCTAATTTCTTTATTGGCTCTCATGATACCTGAGACATCTGTATTTTGTTATCCAACATGTCCTTTTGTCCGTGTCCTGGTTTCCGAGGCCACATGATGCTTGTGCCGTGTGACTTTATTCAGCAAGCAGGTACATCACCAAACACTCTAAGGCAGTGTATATATAGACAGGCAGTGTATATATAGACAGGAATATTTAGAAATATACTACAGACACATAATGGCATTAGATTGAACATATCTTGGATTTAAGTTTATTTTCTGTATCGTTTTGTCTTTGTTCTTGTTGTAATCAATCTGCATTTGGAAGAAAACTCAATTTGTGAGATGTTAAATAACAGTAGAAAATCATGTTGTCAGGTATGCGGTTTGTGCAGATTGTGTGTGCAGTGTGTGTTTTTATAGATGGGGCCTACTCTCGGCTCCAATGTGCCTGCGGGTTTAGCTATTGAAGTTGTCCTTTCTCACAGAGTAACGCTCTATTTCACAGAATCACAGTGATCCTCCAATCATCTCACAGTCAGGGAGAACAAAGAAAAGGCTTGAGATAACAAACTAAGCAATAGGAGAGGACGGCTTCCTATCAGCCTGAGTTCTGGTCCTGTGGGTTTTATTTGGTGTTAAAGGTGTTTTTCCCACAAATGTCTACCAGTGGGACACTGTTTTAGAGGGGATTGGATTGTTGTTTGAGTGTAAGCTAACCCTAGTCTTTATTGGACCCCTACACACGCATTTGAAGCTGTCAGACTGTAGTCCTCAGTATTTCTGACAATGAGAGTCTGTCTCTGCTACAGTTTGACACAAAACCTGCCAAAAAACTGCAGGGTGGCAGCCAGAAAACAATGATTTGAGAATTTGAAACCAGTTTTTTGCTGTTTCCATCCCAAACCCTCCCTCTCACTTTCATTCTTACATCTTGCCTGCACTTGTTCCTGAAATATGTCTGAATAAAAGGAGAAGGATGCAGTGTATTGCCTTGCTTTCCAGTGGTTGTTTGAGTCACAGTGCAGTTGAAATTGTGCAATGTAACCTGTGATACTCAATTATCATTACTTAAAAGCATTACATTGCTTATTGTTATGGTGATGTGCTTGTGGTTCCACATGCCTGATGTAAAGACTATAACAATAATGATATTCTTTGTTGAATTGGTTCTTGGGAAGAAAACAAACAAACACTCAAAGGAGGGAGGTCTCATCAAAGTCCAGTGGCAGTCTCCACAGCTGTGCAGGCAAAGCTTCCCGGTTGATGTACTTCACTAACACTTGCAGCTTTTTCATTTAAAAATTCTGTATCACTTTTTCAATACATTTTTCTCATGTTCAATTTTTTTTAAAGTCTCATTCAGCTCAAATATTTGCATATTTATGCTTAAGGAAATGTGCATGCAGTGATGCTTTCCCTTCACGAAGCAAGACCTAGTTTCTTGCTATTTTCAGGAAGCTATTTTCAGTGTATTCACATCAATCAAATAAACTATTGCTGCATAGTCTTTCATGTATAAACTTTATTTAAACATGAAAATGCCGCTATATGCCAAACTTTACTTTTGTCTGCAAAGCCTACTCTACACCATAGTTATTATTTTCTAGTTATTAGGCCCTGAACACCGCGCTGTTCTAGATGAAGGTAAAGAATGTAATAACGTAACCAGAAGAGTGATTACAGCGACCGGTATCATTTTACACACATTTGTATCATACAGATGCAGGACTTACACACGCCTGTTATCTGACCGACAGGTCCGCACGCACTCTCCAGCCCAAACTCTAATAAGCATTAATTCACAAACTAAATCAGGAGACCTTTAACGTTTTACGTCCGGTTCGCTGTCATCAGATTGTATTTGTTGTTGCTGCTTCAGCGGAAGTTTAGTTCAATTATTTTTGATTAAATACTCCAAATCTCCACCCTCCATAATTGCACTTGCTTCAGTTGCTTGCTACTTTCTCACGGCGGTGAGAGTGGTGCAGTGACGCTATCTATCTTCTATCGATTAGATTTATGATTCGAAAATTATAAAAGTAGGGTAGACATGTGGATATTATCCGACTGAACAAAACGTGCATTTACCTAACAGGTTCGTTTTCCACTGACCTTTTTTCGAGCTATTTTCCAAAATCCTATGGAGAAATCCCATTGCTATTTTGTCGAGGGAAACCGAGCGCAGCTTACTTCCGCTTTTTGGGACGCGTCACTGCACCACTAAGTTGATGCGATTTGATTGGATCGTGAGGCAAGGGAAGCCAGCCGCCTCCGGCTTCCCTTGGCATGGCCCTGACCAATCACAGGTTGGCAGGGGCATGACGTGAGCCTCATCTGATTGGTCAATCCCTCCATTTTTTTTCACCAAGGGAAGCAAATTTCGGCTGGCCTCCTCTCGCAACAGAGAGTGCAATCTACTGTTTCACCATAACATCTAGCGGGGTGCTGTTTCACTCTTTGTAAAATACTCAATGAGAATGGGGGAGAGACGGGCCGGCAGCAACACACAACAAAGAATTTCCGAAACTAAACGAAGTGTTTTTATTTATTTATTAAAATTATAACTACAATCCGAAAAAACAGGGGAAGCCTGGCTTCCCTTGGCCTCCAGGAGAAAACGCCACTGAGTAATAGGCAAATTGACAGTTTCCAGTTTATCTAATCAAACACGCCCAGCAGTCACGTCATAGTGGGTGTTGCCTTTCCGAGTAGATAAATGAAGTCACATACGCTCAGTGGAGTGGCAGCATCGTGTGTAAGTGTGACGGAAACCGGCAGCGAGTGCTTATAATATTAAAAGTTACTATCACCTCAGTAACAATAGCGTTTGAGCTCTTCGGAGTATTGTCAGGGTCACTTTCAAGAGCACAATGGCTGAGAAGATGGACATGGAGGAGGGGAAGGCATCCAACGGCGACGCACACCTCGATCAGACACCGGTCACCGGAATGAAGAGCCCGAATAAAGGCGGCCAGGAGCCGCTGGTCCAGCGGGTCAAGAGAATAGTGATGGCCAACTTGCTGGTGATTCTCACCGTGGCCGGGGTCATCATCGGTGTTTTTATTGGACTTGGGGTGCGCAACGCGACGTTGTCCAAGACCCAGATCATCTACATCGGGTTCCCCGGAGAACTGCTGATCCGGCTGCTCAAGATGATCATCATCCCCCTGGTGGTGTGCAGTCTAGTGTCCGGTTCGGCAAGCATCGATCCTAAAGCCTTGGGCAAACTCGGCGGCTGGGCTATGCTCTTCTTCCTGGTCACCACATTAATTGCTTCCTCCATCGGAGTTATAATGTGTTACATCATAAACCCCGGGTCTGGGTCGATAGCCAAACCCACGTTGCAAGACTTTGGGGACGAAGTACCTGTGGCTAAAGAAGTGATAGACTCCTTCTTAGATTTGATCAGGTAAGTGATTCCCCCCCATACTTCAAAACCTGCTGAACCCAGACACTCTTAAAAACGATGCTTACTATGTTATTGTTCCTCAAGTTATGTGTTAAACGTGTTGCTAATAAGTTACACACTAAGTTGGCGTTATCTTTCGGTCATGTAAAGGACTCAATTTTTTTTTTTAAAGTCACAAAGACCAAATAAGTCTGGCCACTGGGTCGTGTAGCTTGATGTGTCCTCAGCTAGGTGTGCTGTAATGACATCTACAGTTGCATCAGCTCTGCTCGCTCCCCCGGACAGAGTGCCTGTTGTCTCGGTCTGTTCCATACAACGACTACGGTCCTCCTTCTTTTTACCATGTTTTCTTTTTGTAGACACAAGTTGACTCAATAATTTAGTTTTCGTTCACATTTTGTCTTTATTTTGACACGTGGATGATACATTGAAACACTTCCTGTTTCGTCCCCCGTTTGTAAAGTTTCAACCTCTCGCTCTTCTAATTTTACTCTAAGGAAGCGCGTCACGGTTATGTCAAGAGTATGTCCTTTCCACTTAATTTACTACCATACGTGTGAAGCAGGATGTATTTTTAACACCATTTAAAGACAAACTGTAGTTTACCTTTGTAAACTACAGTGGTTAGGAGAAATGTGGTCTAACATTTATCTGATGTCAGAAGGCTGGCTCAGTGCCCTGTACCCTGCAGGCTTTAATTTGGTGACTCTGTTTGCATGTCACTGTGTCCATTTTTCACCACACCTGTCTCTTTTTTTTATGAATGTGTCACAGTCATGGGACATCATGAGACCTGTGCCACATCATCTTTTGAGGAACAAGGGACAACAGCAGTGCTTAGACTTGGCAAAAGGTTTACTCAGAATCTAACATTTTTGACACATAATCATGTATGGAATTTGCAGTAACACATTATACACAACATGTTATATGAGGTTGTTGGTTTTCTCATCTCCAAAATCAAATAGATCTCCTAAAGGCATTTCTTATCTGAGCCAGCAGCTATTCATTACATTACATTTCATTTGTTAGACACTTTTATCCAAAGCAACTTACATACATTCAGTATTGTGGACAATCCCCACAGGAGCAATTTGGGGTGAAGTTTCTTGCCCAGGGACATGCTGACTGCAGTGGAACTCGAACTTGCTATCTCCTGATTCGTCCAGCACACTATCCACTAAGCCACAGCCTCCTATTCAGTAGTAGATTAGTTTACTATAAGGTTAAAGGCTCTTGAACCTCAGCCTTTTTATAAACACACACTACACCACAAAGTCCCGCTAGTGACTAGAAAGGGCCTTTGAAGTTTTTTCTTTATAGTTGAGAAACTGTACCCTTTTGGTTAACACTCTTTTGAGTTTCGGCTTTGTGATGGGCTCTCTACAACAGTATTTATTGAGCAATATAAACCTGTATTGTTATTTCATAATAACTGAAATTCACTTTTCATATACACGTGGGACTCTATTGCATAATTTTTTCTGGTTAGTTTTAGAGAATTCAGTGCAGCTTTCCATGAATTATGGAATTGTTTACTATAAAAGCCAGTATGTTCCACCCTCTCTCCCATACCATTAGTGTGACCTTGCCCGGGTAACACCTCCTAAATACATTTCATACTGCCCACAGCCAGATTACACATGCAGGACTAACAGAGCAAAACACAACCACTCGTAGATTAACAATGTTATCCTGATGGTTTTTATCAGGGGCCTTATGTTAATTGCAACACAATGGTCTGGTTTACAAACTTCAGATGGACTATTTACCATTTTGTTTGACTGTTCATGTTTAACAGCAAGGATCAAAAGGGATATACTACTTATTTTACTTCTAGAATCAATATACTGGTCCAGTTTAGTGTTAAAGGATGTTCCTGAATGCAACGTCTGGAACACCTTTGTTCAAAAATGATTTATTGTGGTCGTCTGCTGTTCATAAAGTAATGTTTAGCTCGTGCAGGACACATGCCAACACCACACGCACACACTAACACATTATCCTATTAAGAAAGCTGACAAAACCCGTGCCTCTCATTACAGTGATCCTTCTCAGTTGGTGTTCTAGTTAGTTGTGACAACAAAGACAAAGAGACTTTACCGGGGGGCTGTTCATCAAAGCGTAAAAATGGCCTGGTCATTGTTCCAAGACTCGCACTCTATTAAATGCTTTTCTGTCATTGTCCAAGCATTACAGCAGAATACCAACTGTTAGCTTACCGATGTTTGTGATGGGTTAAACTGTGACTGGAGCCACTCCTACATACCCTTGTTGACATTTCCTATCTGCCACATGTTGTTTGGTTTCCCACTTTAAACAATATGACCTACATTCACAGATGACTGCTATCAGTAGCTGCTGGTGACACCTGTGACATTATTGACAACGTTGTTTGTCTATAGCTACAGGAAAGAAGTGACACGTCTCAGTGTTTTCTTTTTAGATTACTAAACATAGTGTGAGTATCATTTGTCTTAAGCGCTTTGAGCATCTGGAAAAGCGCTATAATAAATGTAAGGAATTATTATTATTAAGGCGGAGGTGTTCTCTTTTTAAACAAGCACATTTACCTAGACTTCCTTATATATTACAATTAAAACAATTCCAGACAGCCGATTCACTTCCTAAACTTTACCATTTCATTATATTCTTGCTTTGATCATATAACTTGGAGTCCTGTCTAATGTGGCTCAATGTGTAAAGAGTAGGAGCTAGTCTGTCATCTGGCCTATCAAGAACCTAAAATAATGGTTGTTTGGCAAGAACCTAAACATTAACAATTCCACGTCGACCTTCGCTAGATCTTCCCTGATTGGTGCTAGATCCTGGTGTAACAAGATGCTGGAAAGACGTCACAACAATTTTCCTAAAACGAACAGAAGCCTGACACAAAAGCAACACACCCACCTAATAATGGCATTTGAATGTGTGGATTGTTGTCATACCACTGATTATTGTCATCTCTGGTTGTGCAATAGACAGTGTTAGGTGCACGCCTGTCTCTTTATGCCCTAAGGGTAGTTCAAAAGCAGTGGGCGGAGTTACTGAGATGGGGGGGTGATATATTCTAATGAGCCTGCATTTTATTGGAAGGGTTTTGTACCTGCAACAGGAGTGAATTTGCCACAACAAAGAACAAGGAAGTGGATCCATTCTGGTTAAATCTCTGCAGAATCAATTCCTTAGCAACCAGTATTGTTTTATCCTCTGAAGTCGTTATAACATCCTTTAGGCCTAATGATTAGGGACGTCAGTGTATTGTTTGCAAATCAAAAATCGTTTGGCTCTTCTTTTTGATCATTGTATTCAAAAGCAGGATCTGAAAAGTATTTTCAAAAAAAATATCAAAAGTCTAACTGATGATTTAGAGAACCGTGGCAGCGCTTCTAATAATACTAAACATACAGATATTGCGATGATGTCCCTTTGCTAGTCATACAAATCCGTTGTAAATACACAACCACTTGAATATCCAAATAAAGTTTGCTATTTGCTTGAAAGCCTGGCAGCCATGGTTATTTGCAGCACATCTTGCCTCAGTCTGTGCTCCTGTTGCAGGGTGTTTCATGTTGCCATGCCACAATCACATGATGTTTGAATTCTAATGCATTATGGTTCCAATGTAAGGGAACTAGTGGTTGGAAAGGGCTTGTGAAGTTAATGCCTTGATTATATTCTAAATCCAATACATATAGGACTATCTGGGACACGTTGGTTTCATGCATTCTTAGAGATTTAACATGCAGTTCGACCCATGTACCAATGTATGTGTGTGTACACTTCTTAGCCGAGATTGAATAGCCAAACGGCAATTAGAAGTGGGGGAAAAGGGGCTTAAAGGTAAATTCTCCCAGCTATTTCCACATGATCCATCTTGTGATTCCATTTGCTAGAAGTATCAGTGGTGCCCAGAGGGTAACTTTTGCTGCTGTCTCTACAACAGAAAGAAAGGACTATCTTTTTGTAGTTGATTTAAATTATTAATGTGCTGTGAAAACATTTAAGAATTCACCAGGAACAGCTATAAACTCAACAAAGACCACTCTATAGCTTTACGATGCGTTTGCCTTGTGTCTCGATTCACATAAGTGCTCAGGGTTATTTTTTGCTGTTGTGTGTATGCAAATGAAAACAAGACTCACGCTTTGTATTGTTTTCTGCTATGTAATTTATCTTCCTCCAATTACAGCTACCTTGTTTTCATTGGATTTCTCCTGAGACATCTGGTATACTTACTGAGGAATTATCGTTAAAGTGTTTTGTTTTTGTCTCTCCACAGAAACATATTTCCATCCAACCTGGTTTCTGCTGCCTTTCAATCAGTAAGTACTGTAATCTTTTCTAGCACTTTACAAAACTGATCATTTGAAATTGTTTAAAGGATATTTTTAAGATTATTTATTTAACTGACTCAAGTTACTAAAGTAAATAATTGTCAAAACTTTCTTTCCCATCCAGTATGCAACAAGCTACAAGCTGATTACCAGGAATGGTACTGATGGAAACCCCAATATCACAGTAGAAAAGGTAAAGGGCCATAACATTAACCAGAAATACCCAACACATCATAATCCAACATGTTTTTGTGTCTGGTGTGGATCTGTGCCCTGACGTTTTTCTTCTGTGCATGTCTCCAGGTGCCTTTTGGTACAGACCAGGACGGGATGAATATTCTTGGTCTGGTTGTGTTTGCCATTGTTTTTGGTGTTGCTTTGAGAAAACTGGGAGAGGAAGGAGAAATCCTGATCAAGTTCTTTAACTCCTTCAATGAAGCCACCATGGTGCTGGTCTCCTGGATCATGTGGTAAGAAACTTGCGTAAATGCGAGAGGCTTGTTCTTTGTGTAAGTTCCAGAACCATAATTATTTAATGATCTGTCCACTTATTTGTCTTTCCTGCACTCACCTCACTGTCTCTCTACAGGTATGCCCCTCTTGGTATCATGTTTCTCGTGGCTGGCAAGATTGTTGAGATGGAGAATGTTGCCTTACTATTTGCCAGTCTGGGCAAATACATAGTCTGCTGTATGATTGGACATGCCATCCATGGCATCCTCGTGCTGCCTCTCATTTACTTCATCATTACAAGGAAGAACCCATACACCTTCCTCTGGGGGATATTCACAGCTCTGGCAACGGCCTTCGGAACGAGCTCCAGGTAATAAACGGCACGCTGCTCCCTTCTGTCACTCTGGCATGCAAACACACACACTTATTTGTTCCCTCTGGTTTTTAATACTAAGGATATTCTGTTCTTAAACACACACACTTTCCTCTCTCTACAAACACACATGGAAATACCTTTTCGCCTCGATATGCTCACACATTCCTTGTTTCCTAGCTCTGCCACTCTGCCCCTGTTGATGAAGTGTGTGGAGGAAAATAACGGCGTATCCAAGCACATCAGCCGTTTCATCCTGCCCATCGGAGCAACGGTCAACATGGACGGAGCGGCTCTCTTCCAGTGTGTGGCTGCTGTTTTCATCGCTCAGCTGAACAACTATTCACTTAACTTTATCCAAGTCATCACCATCCTGTAAGTCCCAAAGCCACTGAAACACAACTGGAATTACACTGCTGAATACATTTGATATGCAATTCTACAATTACCTTACTTATTAGGTGCAAATGTAGTCTGAATAGAATAAAATGTTCGTGACAATGCTCTATGGAAGTGAATCTGTGTCTAACTGTGATCATGTTCCCTCTTGATTTGTTAGTGTGACAGCCACAGCTTCCAGTGTTGGAGCAGCGGGTATACCTGCTGGTGGTGTGTTGACCCTCGCCATCATCCTGGAAGCCATAGGACTGCCCACCAAAGAAATCTCTCTCATCCTGGCTGTTGACTGGCTTGTGTAAGTACACAACTTTTGGGATTTTATGAAAAACACAGAACACAACAACCAACAAAAGTTATGACATACCTTACAGAATCAAATTAAGATTTACTCTGTTCCTTGCCAAAGTCTGAGGCAGTTATTTACAGAGCTCTTTCCTTAATATGTCTTATATTAAATGTTCTGAAATGTTGGCCTCTTTAAAAGAAAATGATTTGATAGGTCTTGATAATGTTTTACTGATGTGTTGACTGTAAATATTTAAAAGGGGCGCCTGAATTTATAGATTTTTTTTTGCATAGCCGAGAACTGGATCACAATAAAAAATGTTCCACCTTGCCGTATTTACTGCGGCACATCCATGAGTCTATCTCCATGGTGACCGTCATGCTTTGAGTTTTTGTTAATATTGTATAGTGGGATTACATCAATGTTCTCCTATGCATTCAAGTCTAGGACGTTTATTTTTTCTAAGTTACTGTTATTTGTACATGATCACAAAACACAGATGGGTATTCATTTTAATTCTATTGGGTCTTTAAAGTCCAAAATGTAACCTTTTGAAACCTCCATAAACAATGTATATAAATGTAGTTTGCCCTCCCTTCTGTGTCTCTTCAGTGACCGTACCTGCACAGTGATTAATGTAGAGGGCGATGCCTTCGGCGCTGGGATCCTGCAGCACTTTGTGGACCGCACGGCGCAACGGCAGGAGGGAGCAGAGCTGAGCGAGGTCAGGCTGGACGGAGACCAATCAGCTGCGGCCCCGGAGAACTCGCCGCTCATTGAGAGGCGAGGTGGGAGGGACAGTGAAGAGAAGAAGTCTCCTTCTGGTGAAAGAGAGTCGGCCATGTAATCAAGCTGTTGATACCATCAATGATACGCTCACTTATTTCACACTCCTGCAAAACCTGAGGTTCTTAACCCCTTTTTTATGCCCTGTAGAAAAGAGAGGATGGACTAAGATGCAATGAAACTTTATCTTACCTCTACACTATTCTGTGCAAAAGAGTTAAGGCGGACATTAAAAATCCATCACATCATAGGGACTTTTGTTTCCTTGTTTAGAGGCATAATTGTACATTAGGCTGGCTACTAATGTTGCATATGGTCGGTCCTCTTCAAAATGTCAGACATTTTACATTTGGCCAAGTTGTAAACAGCAGGTGTTCACCAAATCACTGTGTACCTCTACTATGTCAAGGGGCTGTTGTAGTGACCCTCTAACATCTAATTTGATAAAACATTTGCACACTACTGGTGTTGACCATTAGGGCAGCTTGTTGAATTTGTGGTGGAAAACACAAAAATGTCTGACTTTATAAGTTGACAGGGACCACATAACTGCTTGCCGTTGGTTTTTCTCAAGAAAAAGTTTTCGTTTTCTCCATCTGGAATCGAGTACCTTTTTTAAAAATGATTTTTGTTAGTCACCCTCTCCTTTTTTACTTTGTGTATTTTATTTTAAATCCTTAAAGCCCCTTTTTTAATGCAGATATCATGTCATGTATTTAAACTTCATGTCTTGTGTTTAAATGTGTCATATTTAAAGCATATGAAACACTAGTTTGACTAGGTTATATTCCATATGCCCTGCATTGAAATGGCCGAGACTGTCCTCAAGAGAAAAGACACTACATTAGTTGTTATAGACATTTTATGTTATTTGTGTCTGTACGAAGACTCTCTCTCTCATGGTGAAAAGCAATAGCACACAAAGGAAATACTATCCTCTTCAGCCGCACAAAAGGACATGCTTGATGCTATTTCAATACCCCTATGCTTAATGAAGGAACTTTTAACCCAAGGGCTTAAAACTACGTGAATATGTATGGAAACAGATTGACCTCCAAGCCTTTCTGCCTCTTCTGATGGACGGGGGTGTGAAGGCTGGCAACACAACCTCAGGTTTAACTATGGCTTGAAGACTGTACTTTTAATATTCTGAAACCAAAAATCACCCAAACAAGGAGAACGTTCAACACCTGTTAACTTTGAATGTCATTTCCAAGAAGATTTTAATTTTTTAACCAAAGCCTACATGTTTAATTTTACTTGCTGTTGCTCTGTGTTGGTACCATCATCTAACCAAGGCACATATGTATGTTAAAGCACAGACTGACATAAGGACATTTGTTTGACGTTGTGTAAAGCATGACTTAATGTGAAGTGTAAGTCACTAACAAGTCCTTCCACTACAAGGATTTTGCTACATTGATCGAATAACAGCAATGGACTACTAGTTTGTTTTGATTGTTGGCGCCTGAAAACTGAAAGGATTTAAGTCAAAGTTAAGCATGTCTCCACATAAACCTGTTTAAGTTTGCCTTTGATGGCCATAATCATTAAATACTAGTTATATATGGGCTTCAGGCCTACATGTATGTCATCGTTAATGCCTCTGATAATTTTATTTATTTCCCTAATCAAAATCCAAAGAGATTTTTTTTTAGCGTACGTTTTGACATGTTAGTTACTCCATAATTCAGTTACATGTTGTGGGTTGGATTGTAGATGTTACTCTTTGTAAAAGGTGATCCTTTTTGGAATATTCTTTTTCATATTAGTAGTGGTAGACTTGTGAGACTGTGTAAAAAAGAAGTGATGTTATGAATTATATTGGTGGCACCCTATAGCTACACGTTTATTTTCAAATGCGACATGCATTCAATGTGTGCACCATATGCCATGTATGTATGATTAACTGCAGTTGCACTATTGAATGTGTATTACTTCCATCCATATCATTAACTGTTAAAATCAACCAAATTACTGGGATATATTTGACTAATGTCCAATACAAATTCCTCAAGTCTGTATTCTTTATCAGCTTTTAAACTGTTCTAGTTTTGCAGTTTTTCCCATGATGGTCAAAAAAAGGAAATCACTGCAGTCCTGCGGCCTCATCATAATGTATAATATGTTAAGCATTTGGTGGAAGGTTGTAAAGATTTTATCATTCCCTTCTGAGATCTTTCACCATATGGACATCTGTCTTGTCCGCGCATATTATCTGTGTTGTGATGTGTGTGCACATGGTAGTTGTACATTTATTATTGTTTCAAATTTTCCCAGGTTACAGTCTGATTTTACTGTCTTAAGGATGTAAACAATAAAGGCCTTTTTTTAATTTTTTGGCAATTGTTTTGGTAACTCCGTCAAGTAGGTTATAGTTTTGATTTGTTTGCCAGCAAGATTACAGGAATGAATACTGGCCCTATTTTTACGAGACTTTGTTGAAGAGTGTTGTCACTTTCATTAACATCGTGAGATAGGGGTGTGTGTTTTAATTGCAAGCACTACAATCTGCAAAGAAAAATACATTTATTGCCTCATGAAAACTAGTTCTAGTCAGTCATTTCCAGATTATATACTATGGCAGCATGCAAGAGGGAGAACTTATTTAATATGTACTGAGATTCCTATTTATTTTAATCCAAAAATAACCCCACACAGACATTTATGAACAATTTTGGTTATGCCATATGGCTCATGCCATATGGCTGAAGAACTCCCATAATGCTGTTAACAGTATGGTTAACACAACTTAGTGCAGAAGCTTAGGAGTTGTAAAGGCCAGATAATACAAAAAAAGTATGTTGTGCCACCTGGTGTTCAAAAAGAATTGCAACCCTCCTTTATACTGTGTGTATTTGCCATCAACCCTCAAAACAAATTAATAAAACATCATTCATTTATTTTACTAGTTCATCAATTGGGGTTACATCTTAATACATCACACACAAGCAACAACATTATAGGAAACATGTTGTACCCAGAGAAGTTGGTAAGTCTGTGCGTCCAACTTCACAATTAAAATATTTGCTTTGATTAATCTCCTCCAATTTCAGTAAATAAATAATGGGCGCTCAGTAGTCACACATAACTGAGCTAAGGGTTATTAATCGAGGAAATTCCAGTTAATGTTTTTTACTGAATACTAAGGCCATATAAACCTCCCCTATTGCCAACAATAACAGGGTTAAGGATGATTTGTTTCTCATTTCACAACATGGTGATGTATTGGCCAAATGGGATAAATATACATTAACATTTATTCACAAACTGTGCAAAATTGAAAGTACAAGTGCATAAATTATTCTGTACATAATCTTAAATCCTGTTTAAGATAAAGTACTTTGCACCTATTAACAAGACAATACATGTGTAGTATGTATCATCTTTACAGCAGTCATATGTGTACTTTACAGTACAGATTTAGTGCACCGTGTAGTAAAACCAGTCTTCGACCATTTTGAATTTGCCTGATGTAAATGCACTATTGCATTGAACTTAGAAAGGCAGAATACATTTTTGATTATACATCCAAATACTGATGAAGAAATCTTTACCAGGCAGTAGATCATAGTGGTGATATAACTGTTGTAAAATAGTAATCAAACACAGTTTTTTTGGTACCGTATTAGTTTTCAGGCATCATCTTTTTTCTTTCAATAAAATAAATTGAGGCAACATTTTCAGTGTTTTTAAATAAACAAATATAATACAACATAAACAGGCTTTGGAGTCTCCATCTCTCATAATTTGCTTCTGTCCAGCCTCTTTTTTGTGGGGTTGGGATACTGGGGGTTCTCAATAACGCCCTCTCCAAACTTGAGCTCCAAGAAGGCTCGGTGGTTGTTAGGGCCGTAGGCGGTGATGCCGGCAAAGGACATGGGCACCAGCGGCTGCAGAAAGTGCTCCGGGAACTCCACATCCTGCTTGTGTTCTGTCCATGTGTCTTTTGTCATGACGCCATTACGCGGATAGAACGGCCACAGGTCAACATGCAGGTGGTTGGCCTCGCTGTACTGGACCCTGTAGAAGTCTCCTTCCACTGCACGCTCCCACACATAGCCGTTAGCATCCACAAGAGAGCCTGAGTCGAGGTTCTTCAAGTGATCACAGTTGGGAATATCCTCCAGGTAGATGCCCAGGTCCACATCATAATCCCATGGGATGATGTCTTGATGACGGACAGCGCCCAGAAGAGACCCCCCTTCTAGCCAGTAGCGTACACCTGAGGTCTCCAGGATGTTGATAACATATTTGGTGGTTTCCCTGAGAGCCCGCAGGCAGCAGGGAGGTGTCCATCGATCCAGATAAAGGTAGTCTGGAGTGTCGTCCTGCACAGTGCCAAAGCAGCGAGGCGTCTCTTTACTACAGCCATACCACTGTTCCTTCCCATCGGACAGCAGGAGTCGCTTTAGACCAAAACTCCTCATCAGCTTCCCGGTGGTCTCCTTTAATCTTGTGTCGGCCTTCCATTGGTTGTGAGCGGAGCTGAAGAGGGGCCGGTGGTTTGCGGCGAAACAGGGGCTCTCCAGCAGCTTGACCTTCCAGCCTCTCAAGGCAGTTTGGACAAAGAGCGAGGAGAAAAGGGGCCGCCCCAGAGGGACAGAGAGGTTAAATAGATCCTCAGTGCGAATGAGGACAACTGCATCTCCTTGTAGAGCCGTACACACACTCCCACTGCTTCCAGACGCAGCCGGCGAGTAGGTGGCTGTCCACTCTCTGAGGTTCACCCGCAGGTGGAGACACTGCACAGCCGATCGAGCCAGCACAGGGGAAGCCACCAGCCTCACAGGCCCCCCACCCTCACCTTCCAGCTCCCTGATGAGCCTTTCAATAGCCCGAGGTTGTTCCAATTCTACTCCATCAGGCACCAGCAGCACAAACTCTGTCTGGACGTGAAACTCAGGCCTGTGAGCTTGCGGTGGCTGGTCCGGGCTGGGGGAGAGCACTAGAAGGCGCGCCCCCTCTGGGAGCAGCAGGGGGGGGTACGGAGACGTGTCAGCTACAGCCAAGAAGGGAAGCTCGGGTCTCTGGCGGAGGAAAGAGTTAGCCACATCCCCAACGTAATTCTCAAAGTTTTCAAACTCCCTAAGAAGAACAGTCACGCGTTGGCCACGACTGTGACCCTCACCTCCGCCCACTCCAAGGTCACCTCCAACTCCTACAAGAACCCCTAGGCCTCCCCCCAGACCTGAGGCCGGTAGGGCTGACCTTCTCGTGCCCCTGCCAAGCTCCTTCCTCTTCTCCATCATTTGCTGCTGGGCCCGGGACACGAAGTAGAGGATGAGGAGGTTAAGGAGGATGGCGCCAGATAACAGGCCCTGGCACAGACTGACACGCATGGCAACTGATTTTACTTTCCAGTTCCTCTATCAGGAGAAGTACAGATTAGTCCAGTGGTGGGTCTTAAGTCCCCATTAGTGTAACAGTAAAGGGATACCGTTGAAGACAACCTGTGAAAGACAGCAAATATATACAAATGTATTAATTCTGTTTTATTCATAATCCCTGGGTAAGAGAATGTAAGAAGATGCCTTGACTGTATGGTACACCTTATGTTCATTTAAAATGTAAACAGAGGACTCCTTTAATTTGAAAAAGACAGCAGTGCACTAAATTATGCTAGCAATAATCTGTTATTTTAAATGTAAAAGCAGCCATAGCTTCATGCAAGGATAACTTTCATATATAAACAAGCAGCATTACCAATCTTTAAAAACAGGATGGTAAAATGAAAACTTACCTTCATTTGGATGCATAATGTATCCTGTAAATAAACTGCAGTCCATCCCATCATGCATTAGCCAAGTTATCAGAAGCATTGACAACGTTAAGCCTATTAACTTTGTTGTACTATATTTGGTATTCATGATGGTCCATTTTAGCATGCTCTGGTAGCAGAGGAGCAAGCCAGGCTTAATCAGTAGCAGACAACACAACAATACATATTCATTTTGAGCTAGTATTTGTACGGTTGTGGTTGAAATAGAGTCTCTAACATCTTATCAAGAAATCGACAGCTAAGTGCACGCAAATCGCATCAAAAAATGGCATTACTATGTAGCCGGACCCAAACACAACCATGAAACCCATCTGCACGAATCACGCTTGCCGAATGTCCGCAGCAACAACAGAAACACTTCCGCATTCGATTCTTCAAAATAAAAGGGGCATCTTCGAAAACGTATTCCCACAAAACGTAATGCGAATACTTATCAAAACTCTATTGCTGGGCCAAAGGTTACTTTCACACAATAAATGACAATTATGTTCAACATTGCATTGCTCTCTCGCTCTCTCTCTCTTTCTGCAACTGTATTTGGACATTTGTAAAAAATAAATATAAATAAACAATGCATTAGAAATATATCATGAAATCTTTGCACTTCTACATACTGCAAATAATATTAAGAGGATGCATGTCGACGATTTTCTTTGCAATTTTGAGAACTGTTGGGATTGTATGGCACACAAAATAGCGGTCGACCTGTATCATCATTGTGTTGTGAAGGTGTTTTAATGCAACGTTTTCAAAAAGGAAACACAGTTGTGGATAATGTTGGCCAACTTCACTTTCCTCAAAATTCCTGCTCACAAAATGGCAGGAAATGAACTCCCCAAGCGACATGTTCAGTGTGTATTACTGCAAACATGGCCCTTTATTTGTCACCCGCATTGGGTATTTCCAAAAGCAAACACAAGGAGGAGGAAACAAATCCGGGATTTACAGAGTAAAAGTCGCAAACAACATTTAAACATTTGTCTTGAGTTGTATGCATTTAAAACCCATATGTTTGAGTCATTTTAGCATACACTTATAAATAGGAATGTATGATAAATATGGCAAATCGTTAACTAAAAAGGCCACAATTTTACAAATATGTATCTTCATTGTCGTGTTTTATTTTGAAGGTTTTGAAAGCGGAAGTGTAGTATTTTGCTAACTGAATAGTAATTTTGCTCTGTGCTTGTGAAAAAAGGAAGAAAAGAGAGTCGATTATAGTGGAGTGCTGCTGGGCTGGAAGAAGGGTACGAGGTACTTTTCTATTATTATTGTTCGTACACTCTGCCCGTTTCCACCTCCTTATCCTGGCGAAAGGTTGAACGGTTAAAATGGAGGCGGATAGATCCGGCGGAGGACCAAACCCGAACTCCGGAGGTAGCAGCGGAGCGGGGCGCAACCCAAACGGGCCCAAAGCAGCACCGGGCCCGGCGACATCAGCTGCGGCGGCCGGGGTGATGGCAGCAGCGGCGGCGGCGGCAGCCGCCGGGGCCATGCCCGGATCGTCCCAGGCTAGGGAGCTACAGGACGGGGACTCGGGCATGTCGCTTCCTGGGATCCTACACTTCATCCAGTACGAGTGGGGACGCTTCCAGGCCGAGAAATACCGCTGGGAGGCAGAGAGAGACGAACTCAGGGTAAATTTGTTTATCATTTAGCCTGCGTTTGCAAATCCGAATAAAGGCCAGAGCGGGTATGGCAGGAGCTCCTTTAGTGTCGCTTTGTGACAGCACACATGCACTACAATCAATCAGTTTCGGGATGCCACAATGCTAACTGGCTAACATTACACCCTATCATAGTGTACTGTATTGACCAGGATGTATGATTACTAGACAGTGCATAACAATGGAGACACTCTATGACCTCCACTAGATCACCTAAAACCAAACGGGCACTCGTACATTTTAAACATAAATAACATATTTGCACGAAGCATTATTATACGCCTTTTGTCCATATAATCAGTTAAGTAACATTTCACTCACACAGAGTTACACTACCGAGTTAGATTAGAAAGGTCAGCCTTGTTCAGCTTACTATAGCAAGCCTATTGTCCAGCAAATAATAAGGCAGGTAAACAGAGTTTAGATGTGGCTACCTTGCATTGTATCATTGTTATTAATGCAGATGCACATGCAAAAATATGCCTTTACCAGACTCTTTATAAAGATGGACTGTATTTTGGTAGGATATTTTGCAAAAAAACATTTATTTGTAAATTCACATTAAGATGGCTTTTATGTGCTCTGGGGACACATTTGGTAATATGTGGCTTGTCTGTTGAGGTTAAAGACGATAACACATTGCTGTGAGTTCACTTGGAAATCTCTGCATTTGACAATGAGAGTAATGTGAGCATCTGTTGTCAAGTGGTGTCCTCACTTAAGGGCAGTTTCTATTAAAAATAGTTAATAGTTAAGTTATTGATCCATCAAATAATCAGCAAACAGAGAGAGGAAGTTATTAGGGTGACAGTTTGGGCTGCTGACAGTTTTTGCATGAAATCAACTTTTATTACAAAACATCCCTCGGATAAAGTTCCTTGAGGCCCTAATCTAACTTAGTGGTTTGTAGTCAATGTGTATCTGGTGGCATTGGAATGATATCCACATTTTGAATAAGGGTCTGTCACACTTAGTCTATACGTAAGTAATGCAGTTGTATTTTCTAAGTCAATTGTACTCTTTCCGACTTTCTTACATTATCATTGGTTACCATCCTACTACAACTTAACTATAAAAGATATAAACATGCTATGACCTGCTACTTACAAACACACATGCTGGCTGCCCTCAATGCTATTAGTGAACTTGTGTTATTAAAGGTTTTCAGTTGAAGTCTTTAAATGACAAGAACGTGTGAATCAATGCTATAAAAATGTTCTTGAGCAAGGCATGGGTTCCCTAATTCTCCTTGTTAGAGACTGACAGCAGAAGAAAGAGGGTGTTACTACGCAACACCCCTGAATGCATGCAGCTATAACTGTCTGAGGCAGAAGATTGTGCCTACTCATCAAATTGCTCCAGGATTAAAGCAGGTTTGGTAAACATGCACACATTCAAAGATGTGTTTGAGGGAATGAAGGGATGAACAGTATATCTTTTCATTCCTACCCATTTGTGGTCTCTCTCTCCTGTAACTGCTGTTTGCTTGTAATTACGTTGATATATCTTCTGGAGTTTATGAGCTTGACAAAACCACAGATAAAAAAAAACATATCATAGGCTCTCTTCTGATACTCTGCATCCCACTTTGCCCCTGACTCAACCCCATGTAGTTATAAATAGGAGCTGTGATAAAATATGGATGAACAATAACAAACTGGTTTTGCTCCCTGCTTTTAAAGTCGTGTATGAAGGAGTGGGAATGGAAGGCAGAAGCGGGCCATCGTTATGTCCAACAAGCCATTAGTGCTTGTTATGGGACTTTGTTTGCGTGTGCGTATTTGCTACACATGGTCTGGTTTCATGGGTACAATTAGTACCACGTCCTGTGCTGAGAGAAAGAAGGGATTGCTAGAGTGCCAGGCTGAAAAATTGACCTAGCTTACATTTGAACACCCACAGGCCACAGTCCACAGGCCTTTGGCTTTTGTTGCCAGCATGCTGGCAGTGCTATCAACATGCCAGTTAGGAGCCCCCCTGGGCTATATCCTGTACAGTTAGCACCATACTGTACATGTATGCTACTCACATGGCAACTATACATGGCATTTTCAGTTTTTATGGCATTTGTGAAGCTAACAGGACAGGGAAGCTATATGCAACATTTTGCAAAACCATCACCATTATTTGATGACCATGTGAGTCTCTGTGCGGCTGCGTGGATGTCTGTTTTTGTAGCACAGCGCGTCCTAGTGAGACTGTAACACATGTACTGTCTCCCTGAATGGGTTTTCAGTGTGAAGGGCCACCTGTGCTCTCGCGTCTCATGTGACATGCCAGGAATGAAGACCCTCCCCGCAGTGGGCCAGGTGGGACGTCCCAGCGCAACCATAAGACGGCAGCAAAAGGGACAGGTGGCAGTGGCCTTGTCTCTCTGTTCTTAAGACACACATGAGGCTTCTTCCAGCATGTTATATCAAATTACATTACCACTGCACTGCCTGAGCAGACTTATTTTAACCTGATACTCATTATAATTTATTATATTAACAGATTGAGCAGCAAAGTCACTCACATTATTCTATAGAGAACAGGGAACCGTTACCTGTTACTACCTCTTTCTATTATTCTCATTTTCAGCTAATTAACTGTATTAACCAGTCAGTGTCAGTAGTTGTGTAGAATAGATTACTGGTGACCCAGTTGACATCACTTCCTGTTGAGTGTACACATCTCTTATTAATAGCTCTGCGCTCTCAGCTATGACACAAATATGACATCCATATGTGCCATATTGTTACGGTATGTGCCGGCCTCGTTCACTTAGAGAGCTCCTGTTTAACATGCAGTGATGTGTTTTCCCCCCTTTATTATAGGTATCTTTTTTTATCTGTTTGTAATTCCCTCCTGTTTCTTTCTCTGCTCTTCCCCTGAAATCTGGAAAATCATGATTACATTTGTTTCCCCTTTGATTTAAAAACGTTCATGACATGCAGTTTAATTGCTTCCCATTTCGTTTCAATCATCTTCAAATCCAACTTAGGCAACCAGCCCAACTTTTTATGTTGTCGTTCTCACGCTGAATACCACACACTATGATATGTTCCATCAAAGCACCCTGTCCCAGAAAAGTTCATTGCTCTACTTGCTGGCTCCTTGATGCTCTGATGAGGATGAAGGGATGAGAAGATGGAGAGTGGCCAGTGGAGGAGGAAAGCTGCCCTTGACCCTGTTCTGGAGCTAGTAAAGGGAGACTGACAGAAAAGGCTAAATGTGTCAGCTCTCCATGCTACAACAAACTCTGGAAAGGTCAGCAGCAGTTGGTCACACCGAGGAAAACCCCCCCACAGGAAAGACAGATCAGATGGCACGAAAGGTTTGCCCGCAACAAGGTTCCTTTGTATGTTGTTAGAATACCAACATAATACAATGAGTAAAACCACAGCATCTGTGTTTGCAGGACTATATCAAATGACTTTGAAGTATGAATTTGTAATTCCTCAACATGGAACAATATTCAGTTTAAGTATATCTTTCTCTAGAATACCTTGATGACCTGACCTTCTCCAGTTTGGCTCTTACTGTATATAACGGGTCAATAAGAACACCGTAACAGCTAATGAATGGATTTCTTGTCTCACCTCTGTTGGCCCGGGTCCCACATACAAGTAAAAACAAGCATATCCCAATCTGAACCAGACAAAGGGCATAATAAAAACAAACAAAGAAAGCTAAAAACAATACAATGCCATGCATGTTTTTGTGAGTGGATTGAATTCACACAATTTAAGACGGGTATTGGTTTTGTGATCTTGTTTTCCCTAACAAGCTAATCTGTCAAACTGCATTTGTTCTTGTACCCAGAAAAATCATCTACTCTTTACCACTGTACCTTATTATCCTACCACTTTCAAGGATACATGTTACAAAGGAAGAGCAAGTAAAACCAGGTCAGAGCCAAATATAACTAGTAGGTAAGTAATAGATGGAGAATGACATACAATTGACCCTTTGACAGACTCATCCCTGTGTTTTGCCTTTATGATTCAGAAAAGGGCAGTTCTTACAGTCTGGGTTCATTGTCATCTTAATAATTGTGTGTGTGCAGCCATGGCTTTATCTTGGGCAATAAAGCAGTGTCAGGGTTTTAAAGTTTTGGACACTCCTATGAACCTGTCCTTCTGGGATCACGGCACACAGGGGTGTGATAGTTATCTCTGTGTGTGAGCAGGTTGTAGCTCGTCTGTGTGTTTGAGTAGGAGTTTAAGTTGTGTGCCTTGCCCCTGAAGGAAGAAGTAGACACATTCCTTCTAGAGGTGGAAATTACAAAGATCGTTCATGATTTGAATAATTTAGTTTACTAGTCACCAACTTTGTTTGATTGTTTCAGCTAAGCGATTGCAACACTTATACACATGAACATAAGTAAATGAGCAAATGGTTGTTCATGGTAGGGTGACATTACTATGACTGCTTTTAGTAATCTGCTGTTGGTTTAAACTATTTGTTCAGTTCAGTAAATATGACCTAGCCCTTAATAACATACGCTAACTAGGTGAAGTTCCCAGCATCCACCGATCAGCAGCTAGTTGACCCTCGGATGATTTTAGGGCATGGTCTATGAGGAGGTTTGTTTATCAATGCTGTACTGAAAACAAATCTCTGTAAAAGACGTGTTTTTTCGTGTACAGAGGAGCTCATATCTTACTGTGCCTACTCTTGAACTGAATTGGTTTTACCCAAGTTGGCTCTACTTGACCCAAAACAAGCAACACTATCAGAACAGAGCTTTGTAATTATTGTGGATCTAGCTTCGACATTACCCTTATCAATAGAAGCAAACATGTTTGCAAGTTTACTTTGAAGATGACATTATAATGATAGCATGTTAGCATTTACTATAGAGGCACTGATTAGAAGTCTATTTAACTAGTAGACCGCAAAAATGCCAGTAAATGCTGTTTTCAGTCTCTTCTCTGATTGCTTTTTTTCCGACAACATTGTCGTTATCTGTATTTCACACCCTCTTAGATCTGGCCTGCACTATTGACATGCTAGCTTTGACAATTATCTCAAATTCGCATTAATCAGGATTACTCAGCAGCAGCAGTAGTAGTAGTAAGGTTTGCTTGACAGATCATCCTTTATTACGCTCGCCCTCCCAGCCAGTTACATTACTGTGTGTGTGTGTGTGTGTGTGTGTGTGTGTGTGTGTGTGTGTGTGTGTGTGTGTGTGTGTTCTTTCTTTCTTTCTTTCCTGGGTGATTGACTACCCTCTCAAGTAGACCGAGTGCCTGTCCCATGAGATAGTGATTTTAGACTGTTCTAGTTATACCGAACTGTGTATGCGCGTGGGAGCAGACTCGTGGACACAGACAGAGACATGCAGAGGAGAGATGGACTGTAAAACAACGGGTATTAATGCTCCAGCACCACACAGAGAGAAAGAAAAAGACTGGGAGATGGAGACAACGCAAAACAATGGTCCCTACAATCACCTGTATGCAAATCCTGAGGGTAGAAACAGGCCTTTTAACCTACTTCTGACTAGGGTTGTAACGGTATGACATTTTTATAGTATATAGTACAGTATATAGTCGTTTTTCTATTTCTTAGTATTATTATTACTATTATGACCCTTAAAGGGATGAAACCTGAATTATATTAATAAGCTGAATTTCAAATCTGATAAGATAGCATGTGACTATAATAATACATAAATAGTTATGTAACTAAAACACATTAGTTTAGAATAGATGTTAGCAGCGCTATGGTATGTTGAATTGGGTTATTATTAAGAGCTTTACAATAATGTGCTCCTGTCTGTAAAATTGATTGTGCACACTCACACATACACTCATTTGAGTTTTTTTGATACGGTTTAAAAGCGGATTTACACATTTTGATAAACGTCAATTGTCATACCGTGTTATCTTGCAGTGGCATTTCAACCCTATTTCTAACTAGGATCTACAGTATGTTGTTTTTTCTTCACATCTTTCTATTCCCACAGAGGCCAGAAACTGCCCACTGTAAATCATCACCTGCTGCTAGACACAGCATGTTTTAAAATGTGTTATCAAACTTTCTCATCCGCTCCAGGATCCCTTTCACACCTTTGTCAAGTCTTGCATTATGATGCAATACCAAGAGGAAGATCCTGTCTAAACAAAGCCCTCGTCAAATCTTGACAGTGTTATCACCCATAATTCTTTCATTATCACATTTTTCTTCTTTTCACAAACATTTTAATTGTTTGCCGTATGGCAAGAATGGGCAGTGAATATTTTCATTCCTTGAGGTAAGCCTTTTATCGGCTCAGTGAGGAAGGAAGCGGAAGGAAAATGAGAGGGGAAGCACACAAAGGAAGGATGTGTTTTAAAAGAGGGTTTTGAATTTGGCTAGTGTGTGTCTTGTTTTTCTTCTTCTGCAGATGCGCACTGAGGCCTTGGTTAGGAGAAGTTAAAAATAAGAGCCCTGTTCTACAACCCTCTACTTATTCCTCTGGGTTCTCAGAAGTCATGTTTGCTATGCTTGTCACATCAAACTTTTTTCTTCCCATTCAAGTACTTGGCTTGTGATCTTTGTTGATCTAAAAGCGTCTATCTTAAATTAAGATACATATGGATGCAGTTACAGTGTCAATTGAAATGTATTTAATGATGTTGCTGTACTGTATGTGTGTGCCTTTTCTTAAGGTACTTTGTGTCCCTTACCATCCTGTATATGTGTTTCAGGCTCAGGTGGCGTTCCTTCAGGGTGAGAGGAAGGGGCAGGAGAACATGAAACAGGACCTGGTGAGGCGGATCAAAATGCTGGAGTACGCCCTGAAACAAGAGAGGTCAGATGGCAGCAAACTCCTTCTTTCTGTCCCTCATGTCTGTTATCCACTCGGACAGCTGTCTGTCATTTGATCATTAAAGGATTTCCTATATTTGCTTGTTGTACTGCCCTCATGTGGTATTTTGTGGGGTTGCAGGGCTAAACACCAGAAGCTTAAGACGGGAAACGATCAGAGTCCCGGAGACAAGAAACCAGAGACAGAGGCAGACCAACGTAAGTGATTACATTATCTGTTACTTTGGCTTCACTTTCAGAAGACACTCAAAGTTCTTGCTTTTCAAATGTTCTGCTCATTGCTGTTGCATCACTATTGACCAATCCTTTCTGTAGTTCCCAATGGGCCGGCTGAGTCAGACTCTGAGCCAGCCAATCAGATGTCCTGGAAGGAGGGACGTCAGCTACTACGCAAGTAAGGCCTCGCTGTCATCAGCTCCTTTTGATCTCAGTAATATACTAATATGTTTCATTAGTGCTTTATCATAAGTGTTACATTTGTGATCTACACTCCAATGACTAGATCATATGAATGTGGTTATGTAATCATGTGTGGTTTTCCTGTGGATGTAGATATCTTGAGGAGGTGGGCTATTCAGACACCATCCTGGACATGCGGTCTAAGCGTGTGCGCTCGCTGCTCGGGCGGAGCAGCCCCGAGGCTAACGGGCCTGCCCCCATTGAAAGCTCACCTGAGCCCGAGCCCCGGGCGGGGGGGGAGTCGCTGTTGGTCAGACAGATAGAGGAACAAATCAAGAGGTGAGAACCCTACATCATTTTTTTTGTACTTACTTGTAAAGCGCTTTGAGCTCCAGGAAAAGCGCTGTATAAATAACATGTACGATTATTATTATTATTATTATTATTATTATTATTATTAAATAAGTGTTCCATTTTTATCAGAAAAATGAAAAAAGCCACAGTTTGCTACACAAAGCCTAAATCATGATACATCATGTGAATTAAAGATGAACATTTGTAATAAATAGTTTAATCACGATATTCATCTTTAATATCTGGTATAAAACTGCAAACATTTGCAAATACCAACATCCTAATTTACTCATCTTGATATGATCGTCTATGCACAGACCTTGAGATATTATGGTATGCTTTGTTGGCAGTGCACACACCGCTCCTCTTAAGATCATCTGACTAAGACCCATTAGAAAAATCTATGTATTAGTTTGTGCAAAATCGCTATAAACAGTGCTATGGCAGAAACTAGAAAAATGGTCTTGCAGACAGAAAACCAACAGTAGGCTAGAGTGCAGTTAGGTTATTATCAATAGGAGAACTTACTTACTGCAGGTGAGACAGAACATGAGTCATCATTGTATCTTGAGGCAGCTCTGTGAGTAGCATTTATCTGTAGCAGAAATGTGAAGACAGTGAAACAAAAAGCACACCCTGATCTCAAAAGCCAACAGAACAAGACGCAGAAAGGATGTCTAAAACGGAGGGCATCCTCCACCATGACAACATGGTAAGATTATAAGAAAAAGTTAGCACGAATCTATTCAAAAAAGTATTATTTACAAGTAGAAAAGTAAATGAAAAAGCACGTGTATCCATAAAACTTTTTTACAATAATAATATTTATTAAAAAGCTAAACTGTAATGAAGACTGCTGTGGCCAAAGTTCTTATAATATGGTATTATATATAAATAAGTATAATTGAGGTCAACCTGTATTGTCCTGTATTATCTTTTTGACTGAAAAAGTTTGTTTGCATTCGCAGGAACGCGGGCAAGGAAAACTCTAAGGAACATCTGGGCAGCTCGGTGCTCGATAAAATCCCCTTCCTGCATGGCTGCGAGGACGACGATGAAGACGACAGTGACGAGGAAGATGACTTTCAAGGCATGGCCACTGACTGCATTGATGGACCGCGCAAGAACAAGAAGTCCCGTGTAAAGGTAAGATGTGAGATTTAGAAATTAAGTTGGGAAGACGAGGAACATCTGAATGTCTTAACGCAAGCTTTATTCATGACTCGTCACATTATGAACGCTCTCCTCTCTCTTCTCGTGTCCAGTCGGAGCCCATGACCACGGACCTGGACCCGGAGGATGAGGAGGACGAAGACGACTCGGAAGACGCCCTCAGTGAATTTGACTTCCTGGGCTCGGGGGAGGATGGGGAGGGGGCGGGAGAGGCCCGCATCTCGGGGGACGGACGGGAGCTAGGTACGCTGTTGCCATAGCAACATCATCAGCACTGCCAGAATCACTGCCACCAGTGTATCTGTCTTTTTTGCGCCCCACCCCTCCCCCTCCCTGCTCACTTTTTTTATCTTTTACTTCTCATTGTGTCCTGGCATCTCTTCTTGTCAATAAAACCGACCTCTTTTCCCAACCACCTGTCTCTCTGTCCTGTTTCACGAGCTTGTCAGTCTGTGACTCTTTAGAGTTGTGTAGCCGCCACCTTTGTCCATAGATGTATTTTGTGTGGTGCAGGGTGGGGTCATTTCAAAGGTTATCACGCATGCTGCCCTTTTTTCTACGCGCACATTTCATTATTTGATACATATTTACGCTGTGACCCTGTGCTCTTTTTAAAATCATTCTTATTGAAGAGTCATTCAAATTGTATGGGTGTTTGTTTTGCATTTAAAGAATGAAGTCTATTTTTTTGCCCTCTGTCTACATCCGTCTGTCTCTTATCTGTCCGTCTGCTGGCCTCTCCATCCTTCCTCCGCCCATCTGCATGACTGGATGTTTTGTGTCTCTCTCCTCTTGCCGGGTTCAGAGAACCGCAGGAACAAGTTACAAGGCATGATGGCGGACTTCCCCCCTAAACCCACCCCGCCCCCCTCCGTATCGGGACAAGCTCGCTCCGGGGAAGGTAAGACCCCTCCCACCATTATGCCCCATCAAAGACCTTAGACTTTCCTCTACTGCTCTACAAGCATGATTGCAGATTGAACGCCAGACAACAAATTTAGATGCTGTCTTGTTCCATTTTAAAACCTGCGTGGGGTAGACTTACAAAACTGCTCCAACACCTATAAATAAATCCGCTGGTACATTATGTGGGAGTAAAGAAAACAAGATGACTGGACTCTTGCCTGGGAGATTTATTGCTATATTTTCCATTCTCTTTTCCTAGGCCTGTCTTTATCAGGCCGTGATGTTTTTAGGGTAACTTTTGTGAACTTCCACCCCTAAACCTGCAGGTGGAGCCCTGGGTTTTTCCTCTGACGTCTTCATTATGGATGCCGTCGGGGGAGGGGACATGAACCTGGGTGAACTGGCTGATCTCACCGTTGCCAATGACAACGATCTCTCCATGGATGTAATTACATATATCTACTGGTCAATACATGGGATGTAATCCAACATACATGTGCACACTCAGAATATGTGACTCTTTTTGAACGTATGTCCCGTCAGATGCAGGATAACAGAGACGAGTTTAAGAAGACATGGAACCCTCGTTTCACACTACGTAGCCACTTCGATGCCATCCGCGCTTTGACCTTTCACCCCAGCCAAGCAGTGCTGCTCACAGCCTCCGAGGATGGAACACTAAAACTGTGGAACCTCAACAAGTCCATGCACTCTAAAAAGTAAGAACCCTACCCCTTTATTTTTGGAGTAGGAATAATAACAACGTGCAAACGTAAAATCAAACATAGCAAAGAAATAAAACTAAGAATGAAATGTAAAAGACTGTCCCTTCACAGGAACGCAGCATTGGATGTTGAGCCCATCTACACATTTAGAGCACACAGGTGAGTACAAATTCCAATGTTGTAAATGGACTGTACTTATATAGCGCTTTATCCAGTCTTTACGACCCCTCAAAGCGCTTTACATACTACAAGTCATTCACCCTTTCACACCCACTCATACAGAGCAGTGTACCATGCTCTAGGAACTAACATTCATACACATTCACACACCATCCCTCGTAGCCACAGTCGCCCACTGTGTCACTGACGCACCCAGATGCAGTGCAAACACTCTCTCTCTCTCTCTTTCTGTCCAGTGGAGCTGCTCTGTCGCTCTCCATGAGCGAGGACGGAGAATCCTGCTACAGCGGGGGAATAGACGGAGCCGTCAGATGTTGGAAGATGCCCGACCTCAATGTGGATCCTTATGATAACTACGGTCAGCCATTCTCAACTGCAGATGGATAAGAATATTCAAATTTTAGATTTTCCCTTTTTTAACGTATGTTTGATTATCTAGATCCGGGCATCGAGAGCAGTGTACTAGCCGGTCACGAGGACAGCGTGTGGGGTCTAACATTCTCAGCAGTTCACCATCGTCTTGCCTCATGCTCAGCCGATGGCACCATTCGCCTCTGGGACCCTCAGAACTCAGCTCCCTGTCTGTCTGTCTTCAATAAAGAAAGAGGTAGACATTTATGTGGAGTGTGTAGAGATGCTTTTGAGCTTTGCATTGCGTCCATGACTCACAACTTTAACCTCCTCCTGTCTTCTCCCAGAGCACGGCACACCCACATCAGTAGCATTTGTGGCCACTGACCCCAACCAGGTGGTGGTGTCATTCGACGCTGGAGAGACACTGCTCTATGACCTCAACGCGGAGCAAAGCATCATTGCGCTAGAGACACAGACCAAGGATGGTATGTTCAGGACCCTATTTGTTCTAGCGTAATATTGGTCACTGTTGAGATACGTTAAAAAATAAATAGTTAAATGAGCAGATAAAAAAACAATCGAGTGGTTTTTCTCCCTTCACAGGCAGTGAGCTGATCAACCGTGTTGTCAGTCACCCATCTGAGCCCGTCTCCATCACTGCCCATGAGAACCGCACCATCCGTTTCATGGACAACAAGACAGGTATCTGCAGGTCTTTCATCTGTAGACTCGTCAGTTGATTCCTTCTTTCTCCTCTCTTTTTATCTTATAGTATGTGAATGGGTCTAAATGAGCTTGCTTTGTGTGTCTGTACAGGTAAAGTTGTCCACTCAATGGTCGCTCACCTGGATGCCGTCACCTGTCTCACTACGGACCCTAACGGCACTTACCTCATCTCCGGCAGTGAGTACTTATTGAGCTGCCTACACCTGAGAATCAGGCTTCCTCTACAGTAAAGTCAATCTTTATAATTTATTTCATATAAAAAAAAAATACCCTCTTCTCCTCTGCACACTTTATTCACAATCACAAAAGGTTATTTATACCCCACCTATACCTGTATAACACAATACATGTTTTAGATAAAACAAAAATAATCAGAAGGCATCAGTACAATCTGCGATCTCGCTTAAAATGACGATGTAATGCATTGAAGAAGAAACACTAAATCTACCTTGTAAGACAATATAAGGGGATCCTGCACCTTGCATTCCTCAGGGACCTTTGCACCTAATAAGCTGTTTCCTCTGCTTCCCCCTTCCCTCTTCCCACCCCTTCCCTCCCCCTTCCCTCTTCCCCCCCCTTTCCTCTGCCCCCCCTTTCCTCTGCCCCCTGCAGGCCATGACTGCTCGGTGCGCCTGTGGATGCTGGACAACAGGACGTGCGTGCAGGAGATCACGGCTCACAGGAAGAAGCACGACGAGGCCATCCATGACGTAGCCTTCCACTCTTCACAGCCCTTTATCGCCAGCGCCGGCGCAGATGCACTTGCCAAGATCTTTGTCTGAAAGCATTCTGCTGTCATTCTGGTGAGATAGGGTGTTCATTTTTCTTCAAGTCTTTGACAGGAAGCCCGTATTACACACTGGTGGTGTGGAGTTTGATAGAAGCACATTTAACAGCCATTTGGGGGTTTATTGAAAAGCTATTGAGTTGCATTTTGGGAATTTTATTTTCTTTAGGTCTAAAATTGCATGTATAGCCTACTGTTCGAAGTAGATCTGCAGTGGACCTCAACAGATTTCCCGTTACCTCGTTATGGCTATATAAAAAAAAAACTGAACTTCACAAAATTCTAATTTTTTTTTTTTTTTTTAATGATCTATGGCTTCCATTTTCCAATGTGGTGTGACTTCTTATTTGTTTGATTTTTACAACTCTAAATGACCAATTGATAAATGTTTTGAGCCTAATGTCTTCTGCCTTTCATGATATGTCATGAGGAGTTGTGAACGGCTGTCGGCCTAACTTTGTTTGTTTCTGCATTTTTAGAGTCCTACATAAACAACTGGGCGAAAAGAGACTGAAGACGACAGAACACATTTCAACTGCTTACACACACACACACACACACACACACACACACACACACACACACACACACACACACACACACACACACACACACACACACACACACACACACACACCACACACACACACACACACACACACACACACACACACACACACACCCAACACACACTTTTCCTGCACCCCACTGGTTGGGTCATCGCCACAGGACGTCACCTCCCTTCCATTCCTCACTATTCTCTGATGCCTCAGTGACTTCTTCTTATACCAATCACACTGCTTTTTTTTATAAAATCCCAATCGCTCTGTTTTCGAATAATAATCTTTGGAGAAACACTTTTTCTACACTACAATGTTCTGTTCTTTTGATTTTATTTCATTCAACCTGCCGACACACTACTCACATTTCACAGAGGAACCACAGCTTGCACTGCACATCGCACACGATGCACAAATGCACCTCAACTTTTCATTTGAGTTCTTTTTTTAACAAATTGCTTGTGGCTAGCATACATATGTAGGCATGACTAATAACAGTTAAGTTTCCCAGTGTGGGCGGAAAACACCTGCCCAACATCTACAATGGGATTCAATGTATTACATTCCAAAGACTCCAGGTAGAGCGTGTGTGGTGGCAATTTTCGGGGTTGGAGAATGTTAAAGTTGTCTATGATGTGAGGAAACATTAGACAGTTGCTAACCAGTGTTGAACAAATAGCTTTAATTTCAGCTTTATGGCCAAGTCTCATTGTATGTCCGAGTATGATAGCATCCCCATGATTCAGCCTCTAAATATGTGTGTGAGATAAAATGACACTCTGCTGTACAAGATTAATGAACATAACTCCACAATCATGGTACATTTCTACAGATGGTCAGTGTGAACTCTGCAGACCGATGCTCTCACACCACATTTACTAGCTACAGATGGATATCATACAAGTACAGTTCGTGTCCGCAGAGATACAGGGGTAGTGAGGCCAGTCTGTCTCAACAAATGACGCCGTTTGTGTCATTTGGTGCTTTCCACTGAACACTGTAAGAGTGTGCGTGTTTGAATATGCACTATTTAAATCACGGTGCTATGAAAGACCTTGTCAGTCTTGAGTCAGAATCAGGGACCTACTTTGTGTGTACATGTGAGAAAGAGAGACTGTGTTTCTCACTCAACGGGCTAAAGAGTGAATATGCTTTTTTAAATGACATTTCATTGTTAAATCATTTCAATACTTGTTGTCTGATTTCAGAATTGAAGTTCAGTGTTCATTTCTCTCATTGAAGGTTTGCGAGTAAGGTTGGCAGTGATCGTTTCAGGTTTGAGGAGAGCTGATGATAGTTGCATTAAGGAAAATGACTCCTCAGATGAGAGCTCTTCAGATCGTCTTTTTCATTTCATCCTGAAGTGGGTGCCAGTATGTAGGCGGCAGTGCTTGTTTCTGGCGTGCTGTAATTGAATCAGGCTTTTAAAAAAGAGAGTTTGACATTACCTTCACTTGTGTGTTGAGGTGAGGATCCCTCGTTTTGATTTGACGTGCATCAGTAGCACAGTAGCACATTTCCCATGAGAGCTAATGATGTGAAGCTGGTCTCTTTCAGAAGAGGCATGCTGGGAGAAATAGCCTCAGGAGGAGAAAGAAAAGGTCCCTTTTTTTAAAAAAAGAAAAAAGATGAGTTGATTTTTACGATGTGTGGGTGTCAGTTTATATAAGTAACATGACTAGGTTCAAAATCAGTCTCGCCGATGTGTTACTGTTGCTGCTGATGTTGAACAAAACTCAGAGAACATTTGATTTAGGTGGAAAACAAGTTTCTTTGAGACACCCCTCATCTATCTCTGTCTGTGTCCTGTAGTTATTTCTGATAACTCCAGGAAACTTGGTTTGCTTTAGGTAAGAGTAGCCCTTTAAGAGCTGACCTGACTTCAAACTACTTGAGTCATTTTATCTTATTGTCTTTAGAGGAAAAATACAATTAGATGTTCAATCAGTTGGTTAAGGGGCATCCTCCACATTTTTAAGACTACAGGGTCACACTACGGGTCAGAGTTCAGACCCAAGGGTTCAATGTTGCCTAGAGGTAAACACTCTGTTCCTAATGACTTTGGACAAGAGGATTCATAGTTCTGATTTGTTTTCCTAAAAGAGTGTGCTGTTCAAGATCTGGGTTCGACTATATTATAGTACTGCTGCTGGAATTAACGTCCTATTATCACATTAAACTACTTTTTGGCTCCACTTTGCACTACATCTAAGTATGGATGCTTCTGTTGAAGAGTGGTAACAGACAGGGTGCATAAAATAATGTTTTACAGGCAATTACTTTACATTAAGGAGTAAATACTACAATGGTTGAACCCGCTGTGGCTCACAGTTATTGGATAGTGAGAGTAACTGATGGCCCCTTTCTCAGATTAAAGACAAATCAGTATGACACATCAAAAAAGAAATTGAAACAGAAGTTGTAAATGATGACTAGAGATGCCATTACGTGCTGTAAATGTCCATCATTTCCTTGTTTTTTTTCTTGCATTTCTTTTCCTTGATTATGATTATTAAGATGTAAGAATACTGTAGTATCATAAGTGAATCATTCTTCCTGGCTAGGCATAGAACTTGCTTGTGATTGATAATGACAATGTATAACTTGTAAAAAAGCAAAATGATTAAAAAACATGAAAAATTCAGAAAATAAGTTAAAAAAAAATCTGTTACCAGTCAGAGGCCAAGGTAAAGGACTCTCTTTTCTTTGTGTTTTTATTTTTTTATTAGCAATTTATCACTGTGTGATATTTTGTACATCATATGAAGCTGTATTCAAACTACTTCCTCTAACTACAAGGGATAAGAGACCTGCTTTTTATTCATTTTGTTTTATTATATATTTTTGAACTGCATTCTAGCTTGTATCAAATGACTTTCTCTTTTTGTTTACGGGTCCCCTGTTGTATGTCATTAAGGAAGAAAAAAGCAAAAAATGAAGTTTTTGTACAGTGAACTGAGAGTTGTGTTTGTGTTGTCTTTCTTCCCTTCTAGTTAGCTTATGAGACTTTCAAAAGAACTAGACACATGAAAGTATCGCTTACACATACATATCTAAAAATACCTACATAATCAAACATATACACATCTTTTTTTTGTATGGTCTTCTCCATTTCATAAAGTTCAGTTACTATGTTAAAACTTTTATAACATACACTAACTCCCAAGTCTATTAATATGCAACTATTTGTCTTTAGACTTTTTGTCATTTCCAAAGTCAAGAATGCCCAGTGAATATCCTACTGCTGTTTTCAAAGGCTGAGTATCTTTAACTTGATTTGTAAAATTGATGTTCCCCTTTAAAAGCTACCATCCAGGATCACATTTGATAAATGAAATGACTGGAAAGAATGCACTTTGACAGTGGCCTGGTTTTTAAAGAGTCCATCTCTGCTTTTCCACTTCTTGCCACAGGTGCTGTATCAGCTACTGAGAACCAATAATGAATAATCAACCCCAAGCTTTTTCTCCACTACATGAAATGTTTATAATGCAACAATAGGTTTAAATATATTTGAAGAACTTATCTTTCATTTGAAAAACATACAAAAGTAATCCATAGGCTACTAGGAAAATTGTGCTGTAGTCCCCCCTAATGGAATATGCTCTCATATCCCTTCTCCTTACCTATATACATTTTTTAAATGAGACCAAACACAGAGTAAAAAATAAACAAAGCAGCACTAAGGATACGTTTCTATTGAGGATAATTAATTCAATTTCCATCTATAGTAAACAGTGCCCTCTTGTGGTGGATAGTAGCATCCTAGCAAACATTTGCAGCTGTAAAGTTATTGAGTTTTCCCGTCAAACTCCGAAGGGTGCAGTTGCATGTGGTTCATCAGTGTTAATGAAATGGAAATGGTGAGAAGGTTTGCCAACAAGTTATTATTAATCTGCATGCTTTTAGTGTAATACATTGATTAGTGTTGCGCACAGTCATTCTGATGATTGAATTAACCCAGTATAGCATATCCTGGTGTGTGCTAAGTACCAGCTAAGTTCCCCCTTTTACTGAAACTTGCAGTCAACTTGCATGAAAACAACTTCAGGGTTAAGTAAGTAGCTGTGGACTCATTCTGCATAGGTGTGTCACTAAAATATGCAAAGAAAAATATGTGTTACAAACAAAGCCTAAATAAGGCTGGAAATTGAGTTTTACAGAGGGATAGAAAGAGGCTTATGCAGTAAAAAGAAGATGAGGAAGAAGTGGGAGGGTTTGCGAATTTCGAGCTTCCCCTCAGGCAGGATCTTTGCTGGCCTACACTCAGGGAGGGAACAAACAAGACACACATTACCCCAAAGCAAGGAACGGGAAAGATAGACAGAGGAAAAGGGAGGCGGGAGAAACCAGGAGTCAAAGGGCGGGACTTTCTGGCTGGCCATTGGCTTCAGGCTGCGTCAGTCATTTCACTTCCTCCCTGGCTTTGGCAAGATCACAGATGCGAGAACAGGAGGGAGGGGGAGTGGGAGGTACCCTCACGCGGCTCATTCTCTGTGTGCTTTTTCACCAAAAAGACTGAACTGGGGCTGAAACTGAAACAGGGCAAGACTCGTAAAAGGAGTGCAGTCTCTTGCTCTCCTTCATTCTCACAGTTTCCTGTTTAAGGAGGCCATTTTGTAACTCAGCCTGAAGGAAAGGCACAACAAAGTTTGGCATTATTTTTGTTTCTCTTCTCTCCCACACCCGGGAGTTTCACAATCAAGCTTGGACTTTCTCCCCTGCAGAGCAGCTACTTTGGACGAGTGAGAGGGGAAGGAGGGAAGACGGGGGATGAGACCCTCACACACACTGCTCATGCCTGTCATGCAAGGACTATAACAGGAGTTTTATAACAAGAGCGCTCGGAAGAAGTGGCAGAAAGGAAAAAAAACAACTTCCTGGATAAGGGTTTCTTCCTTGATCCACTAGAAGGGAGCGGACACAGGACGCAGAGGAACCGGGACTCTGCTCAGTGTGTGTTTGTGTATGTGTATGTGTATGTGTGTGTGTGCGTGTGTCCATGTGTCAGCGTGTCCATCCCTCTCTCATCCACTGAGACGGTTTCAAATGAG